CTGAGCGGCTCTGTTTTCAAGGAGAGGAGCTCTATACCTAATTGCAGTCTGCCTGCTTTTAATTCAGCGAGGTAGCATAATGGCAGCTGTAGAGTAAGTCCTTGTTATTTTTTTAATGCAGTCTCTCCTTTTTCTGTTTGCAGTTTGCGAGGTACACGATTGTGTTTTGATTTGGAGGTGCAGAGCTTGATTAAATTCAACCAGTGTCGTGTTTCAGCTCAGCTTTTCATTGGCAATTCGAAGCCAGTGTTTTCCTGTTACTTGAGTGACATTTCTCAGTTAAAGTAAGATCGAGTACAAAAAAGAAAATAAAAACACCAAGTATGAGGACCCAGAAACTTCCATGGCTATATATGCTGCAAGTACATACAAAGAGCCTTCAAATTTGGAGTTTAATTATACCTGTCTAAAAAGAGAAAAAGGAAAAAATGTTACAGCTAGGGTGATACCTGGACTTAATTTAAGATAATCACAAGTTACAGGTGAAATTCAGGACAAGTGGGTTTAAGCACCACCTTTTTCAAGCTGACAGGCTGAACCAAGAGGTGCAGAATCCTGATATTCATGGATAGTTTGTACACTGACTCCTGGCAAATGCTTTTTATTTTTAATTATACTATAAAACTGCAACTATATAAATCAAAGCAAATGTGTATATCTTGAGAATATTGGAAAGATGGTTTGAAATTTATCAAGCATTTGTGATTATAGTTAGATTTTGTCTCTTGAGATTTTTAGCTTCCAATGTGCTACACTGAAAAAATAGAATTTCCTGTTTCGAATCAGTTACAAATTACAGCTTATTATATTACACATCTGTCAGTATTTCAGTATCGTCTACTCAGTTTGCTTTTAACAGCAGAATAGGCGAGGCACCAAAAGGAAGAATGCGTAATGTGCTGCTTTATTTATTTACACAGTGTAACAGTACGTTAAAAAGTGGCTTTTTTTCCCCACTGCTAGCCTAAAGATTAATTTCTCTGTGTTTATAAGCACGCCGACCCTGGCTGATGCACGGCACAAAAGGGCCCATTTATTTCTGTATGACAAGCAGAAAATCTTCATAGAATTAATGAATTCATATGAACTGTCAGCTACAGTCATGTGACCAAACACCTGCAGTCAGCTGCGAATGCACTGGGCGAGCTGCTCCTGCTGGCTCTGTCTGCGGCTCCCTGAGACGCATGCTTTCCCTGCAGCCGGAGCCGCGGCTGCACAGACATGCCCGTCCATTTCCGAAGCTTGATACCGAGGGCAGGAGATGGGGATCGTAACCCCATTTTTCAGAAGCTGCGAATTTTTTCTGCCGAACCCCAAGAATAAAAGGTCTCGTTCTATATGAAGCAGACCCCCCTCCCTCAATTTTCAGGTACTGCCTCTTCCTGTAAGGACTGTGATTGAAGCTTTAAACTAGCGAATTAAATTCTGATTTGAATCACAATATATTAAATCGTATAAGATGCTACATTATTGCTCTTGTCGTTATGATTATCATCAGTTATAATCATCATTTCAGCAGATCACAATGTTTAGAATATCTATCCGCAATCTATTGTCCACAACCTCTTGCATTACTGTGGTATTTTCTGAGTTTCCTGACAGAAAAAAACGTGTGTGTGTGTGTGTGGGGGGGGGGTATGGGCAGAACATGATAAAAATGTTGTTCACGCTAGTGTACACTCCAATGTCAATGTCCTACTGGCCATTTGGGAATAGTGGGGCGTCCTCTTTAACCCCATTCCTGACCTCTGACCCCGTAGCCTAATAGCTTCTCTAAATTTTCCTCGAGGGACTATCAAGATCATTGGCTCTTGTCCGTTCAAGCCGGCCAACAGGTTTCTCTCACATTCTGAGCGTCACTCCAGCATTTCACATTCCCCTCATTGTGATACATTGTCTGAAATAGTTTCATGTGATAAGGGGCGGCATAACCAACCATGATTCTAATATTCTTTTTTCATAGCTACAGCATTTCTTGATTGAAATATCAATGACTCTTATTCTGTTGAAATGTGTGCAAAAATCTGAATATGCAGACGAATTTTCAAGGTCTTAAAGGTGATGATTAGTTTACACATTTACACAAAGGGAAAAAGCATGCATTAATGTATGCATCTTCTAAGAATGTTGAATTTATATTCCTATTGTTTACTAGTAAATTATCACACATCCCAAAGAAATGCAGCTTCTATGCTTATTTGTTACACTTTTCCAAAAGATAATTTGTTAAAATCAATTAAACATTATTAAACATTACTAGCAGTTCTATCTATAGTCATTACTGGGTCACATCTTAACGAAAGTAGCACAGTAGTTTTTGCCCTGTTACCCAGACATGTTCACTGCTTGAATGCAGGATAAGCCCCTCACTCAAGGGCACTACAGAAGGGACCCTAGTGGGATTTGGTCCCCAAACCACCCAGATATGGGAGAGCAGCTTTATCCTTTCTGTTGCTTGTCATCAAATAACTGTAGCTATACATGTGTAACTGCGCATCCTAAAGGTGAAGACGGCCCTGACTGCGGATTTGCTGCATCACATGCTTTGTGAGGTGGCCGCAGAAGAGGACGGGTGCCTTCCATGGCAGCGTGTGCCCTGGTTCTGCCCTCCTCACCCGGGCTCTTCTGTCATTGTTTCCCCCTCAGTGGTCAGAAGTGGACAGGCAGGTCCCCCCAAGGGAAAGCAAGCGCCATAGCCCAGGGGCAAAGCCACATCACAGGACGCCCAGCTTATTGAATACAGCTGTTAGAACATCTTACACTTGTCAAGATTCCAGTTAATGCTCAACAGAAACATCATCATTTATTTTGACAACAGTTCTGATGTATGAACCATTAATCCGCATGGCTTGATATAAGCCTATTGATCAGACGTTACTTACGGATATTTATTACGAAAAATGCTTAATTGTGCATTTTCCCTATAAACCACATCATGGATTCTGTGAAAAGTTAACACATTAGTTCTTTACTAATGTCCATTACTATTTAAAACATTTTTTACATTAAATAATTAAATACCCTATTCACTGGCTCCATTCACTTTCTCGAATCACTCAAAAGATTTGACGTATTTCTCAGTTGGGCATGTACTTATTTACTTGGATTAAACTATATGGTGTTTGCATGGAAACACTTCAGTCGACTTTAATTCATTCCAGTCCACGTGATCTTCATTTAAAATCCAATTCAAGACTAAGTACAAAGTGTTTTCATTTTATTATTTCTCCATTATAACACGCTTACCAGTTTATATTTTTGACTGAAAAAAGTGCCTCATTCAGGTTCCTGACGGTCTATCATGTCATGAAGAATGTTCTTATTGGCCACGGACAGCGTTTTAATCAATTTTCTTTTTAAGCCACATTCATGACATGTGAAGGAAAAAAAAATACTTGGCAATACTCGCTCAGAATATCCTTCCAATATTAATAACGCTAGCACGTACTTAACATGTCTTCGTCTTGTCCCTCCATGGAAATGCGCATTTCTCGTTCTCCCGTCTGGAGAGAATTGGGAAATACGCCCCTGTACGGATATTTAGGTGAGGCAGCTTCGACTCTTCACTGTAATTGAACTTCTCGTAAAGAGTGATAAACGTCAGGGTTTAATTTTCCAGTTGTATTCTTCTCCCGTTTAATGACAGAAAGCTTCCTAAATTTTAATAGCCACCTAAAGATCGAATGTACAATGAATAAAGTCAAGTTATATCGATTCCATACGTTTTTGTCTTCTGAGACGGTCGGATTAAATTCAATTAAATATATTAAACTGTGTCACTAAGGTGACCGTGTGTGTGTGCGTGTGTGAGGGGGGGGGGAATAGAGATAGAGAGCGAGAGAGAGAGAGAAACGTGAGTACCGGTGGGTTGCATTAACTGATGATTTCATAATTGTAGTCTACAGGGCCTACGGATCGATTTTACATTGTGCTTCTTTGTAAATGCAAGATATGTTACGAATGAGCATTTCAATAATTACATTTCAATTATTTCTTGTCACGTGAACCTTTACTTTTATTTTGTATCTGCAAAAATTTCGAGCTGTTAGTACCTACTATAAAGTTCGCCGCGTTGTAAAAATTCATTTCATTTTCACGAAACAACTGGCTGACTCGCAGCTGAGAACCGGTTCTTTTTTCGTTTTTGCATTGATACATCGGCATGAAAATCGATTAAACCCATTTTCATGCACCGCGTTTCCTCAGATACGGAAAACATTCATTATAAGGCTGTATAGCTCATAGGAACTTACATTTGTTACCCGCATAACTCTTATATACAGTTTTAAGTAGGCAAGTCGGAGCAAATTTTGTCACAAATTATATAAATTATACGTCATTTGAAGATCGTTCTCTGCTATTATAAGTCTTGCAGATATGGGCCTTTAAACATTTTCGTTTGTAACTTGCTTTTATAATCAGATTCTTTGAAAAAGTTTGCTTGTTCCCGATGTGTTTCAGTCACTGAACTCAGTTAATGTTTTTATAATCATCACCCATATTAGCCTACTACGATTGCCAAATAAATACTTCTAAAACTATCTAACTGCATTAAATACAGGTGAGAGATGCTAAAATTCCCTAAGATACGGGCAAATCCTCAGCAAAAATAAATCTATCATCAATCTATTGATTTGGATCCAGAATGTTGTTTTCCCTGATAAAGATAAATTAACCTTACATTATCTGCCGATCGGAGAAACCCGTAAGGTCACTTATGGAAGTTAAGAAGGCTGTTTAGTCAAATGTCCCTTGAATTAGTTTGTGCATTGTGGAGCCGGCCAATAGACATATTCCGGAGGTCTGTTTAGGGTCAAGAGTAACATTAGACGTAACATCAGCCTCCAATGACCTATGGTTTATGCAACACTCAGACCAGACACTGCATGGGAGTAACACCCCAGTTCGAGGTCGTGTCTGGACCCCGAAAGGTCACGATCCGGCGGTTGCACCCCAGTAACCTAGCAGACACTTAAATGGAGTACGTAGAGTTTCCTTACCTCGCTGGTGTCCTCGGAGTCAGTTGAACTTGCAGAGTGACAAACGATACAAGCTCGAGAAAAAATGTTTAAATCTTCTTTGCCCATAGCGGTCTTTATTGGCTTCGCTCAGATGTCTGTTGCAGGCTGTAGTTTGCTTTACTGTATGTACGCCTCTGGCGCCGCCTGAAGCCGCTACGTTTCGCTTCGGCCGAGTTTGCCCCCAGCTCTGAGATCATGTTTGGGGATCGGGACAGTTTGCTGTTTAGACGCGACAGGCGAGTCTGGAGAAGTTTCGAGTCAGACGGCAGAAGGATGCCAAGGACGTAGGGAAGCAGAATAAAGAGCGATTGTTTATGCAAAACAAAGGATTCAGTAAAGGAAGCCGGTCCAGCTCGCAGATCGGCCAGTTTGAATGTGCGGACAGCTCTGATAAACAGTCCTTTTCCACAAGGTTTTTCTTTATGAAAAATATATTTGAATTTGACTTCCTTTTGAATTTCTGCTTCTTCACACCAAAGTTCCTAAGCAAAGTATTTAAGTTTTTGGTTTAAATATTAGGGAGTCTGATAACAACAGGTTTTCTACATTATGTCAGAAATGATAACCATAAATCTGAAAAATCTTAAATATACCAGTTAGGTTTCTCAAAAACAAGACGACATGTATTAAATGTTTTTGTGTGTGTGTGAGAAAGGGCAAACCAACAAGTATTAAGGGTCCAATACCCGGTACTAGCAGATTTGTATGAAGCTATTCTGTGACGCAATTCTGAACCGTAGCAGAGCAGTTGGGTCGGACCGGGTTCCCATGTTCCGGGAGGCGGACGGGACTTTCACGACACCCCGGGTCTGCGCCCGTTTCTGCCACCATTCAATAGTTAATTAAAACGTAATGGCAGCTGGCCGCGAGGGGCATTGAAACGACGCTTTCGCGCACATTTTAATGGAAATCTATTTAATACTAAACGTATTTATTCAGACCTCCTGTCCCAGCTTCCGTGTGGGACAGCGCACAGAAAAAAAGTTTCGCTGTAACCACGGACTGGTTTTTCCTTGTGTTACCCCTAATCAAATTAGTTGAGAGCAAAAATGGGGCGTTCCTGTCTGATATAAATGTATCATTAAATACACTAATCCGCACTAGGATGTGTAAAACATTTCATATTTTAAATAAAAAGGGTGTTGTGTGGATAATATATATATATATATATATATATATATATATATATATATATATATATATATATAAATTGTGTATTAGATGACTGGACACACTTCCTAACATTTTCAGCACGTTATTCCATAGTTAATTCTTTGGGTCGGCAATCTATCGCAGCAAATCTGAAGCTTAATGCAAATCTTTCATGCAACATATTTGCGGCATCACTATATGTAACTACCGTTACTCATTCAAACCAGACTTTTTCAAGACATTCACAATGACCGTAAAATTGATATTTCAATAGCTACCGTCAAATAAATCACAGTATATAATATCACTAAAAAGGCACGTAGTGCTGCATTTCCTACTAATCAACATGTAGGCGTAAGTATAAAAAGTAATATGAAATTAAGTACTTTCGAAATAAAAAGACACACCGGGCAAATTTACCAGTAGCCTATGTTTATATCTATAGGGTGATATACCCACTTAGAATACATTTGCATCCTCGTTTACTGATCTACAATGTGAGTACTTGTCACAGAATATTAGCTTGCTGTGAACACTGGGAGGACGACAGTAAGCTTCCGCCAGCGGCAAAGCACCTCGAGCGCTTGAGAAATGGAGTGACTTTAGTATTCAACTTAAAACAAATATTAGGCACTGAAATAAAACGCAGTTTTCAAAGCTTCTCTGTTGTACTTTTAAATTGACTTGTGTGGTTTATTAAGAAAACATTGCTATTGATCTTTGCATGTTTGTAAAACTGCGCGCATTATTATAGTAAGTAATTATTCATTATACTTCTTTGTTGTATATGCAGTGCAGATCAATTTCAATACTAGTGAAGTAAGAATGAACAGCACTTTAAATATTTTTCTATGATAGACTTAAAATTAAAATTCTAATAATGTTTGGTAATGACAGGGTTCTGTAATTGCTTGGAAAGTTAAGTGAAACAATATTTGAAAACAAATACAAAGTGCCAGTGTAATTGTAACAATGCGAATCTTGTTCACTTCAATTACTCTGCTACAGAGTACTCCAGGGCCATCCAAAGGAACTGATAAAACAGGGCAATAGACATTTAAGAGGTGATGAAAATTATTGTTTGAATGTTAAATTATCTCTGAATGAACCAACAGGCTGTCTTGTTCTCTATTTGAACTGTTACAATATATCCACACATTGATTTTTGCTCAAGCGTTTGATGGTAATGAACTTCAGCAATGAATTCTGACCATGTAATAGTTTAGTTGACTCTAATATTGTCTTATGCATTACAATAACTCAGTTAAAGTGGAATCCTTTATGGTTGGTTCAGAGTGGTTCAGACTGGCTTGGGCTGGATTTGTGTGGTTCATAGTAGTTTGGCCTGGTTCCGGCTAATTTAAACATGTTTTATTGGGACTCGTTTTATTCCAGTTGTTTAAGCAAAAACTCACATATTGCTCTGTTTCATAATAAAAGTAAATTATCTATATGTAATGTACTGAAACTTCACATTTTGAAAGCTCATAAATGATATTCTCTACATATTATCAAAGGTGTATTTTCTGTCCTCCTTGAAGAAGGAAAGGCTGATTCAAACCTTGAAAATGCTAATGGATGTAACTTACCTTCTGAGAGCTCTTAAACCTGGAGAGCAGTTTCTGGACTTCTAATATTTTCGTGTCCTTGTTTTTTTTTTAAACTTCTTTTGCTTCATTAGCTAGCATTTTGCATCATTGTATATTTTCTTCAGAATTTCAAGTCTGAAAGTAAAACCCAGTCTCAGCAGTAATAACAGATTTCACTTTTAAATTAAAATTTAAAGTTGGCAGTAGTTGGTAGAAGCAGCTAATAATATCAGTATCAAAAATAATAACCAAATAATAACTTTATTGATCCTGGCAATAATCAGCTCAGAATGTGAGGGTCCCCCATTGGCCCCCCCCAGGAAACCTGTACACCAGATGGTCGTGATAAATAGTGAATGGAAAATTGATTGGAACAGTAAAGTCAAGGTCGTAGGTTTAGTTTCAATATTGGTAGGGACTAAAGCATCCCAACTGCCCCCCCCCCCCCCCCCCCCCCCCCC